TAATCGCTAAAGTAATTTACACCTTTCTCTCGAACAAGTTAAATCGTAGATATTAACACTACAAGAATAATCATTTTTAGTGACGATAATTTTTGTCACTATGTCGTCAGAAAAAATACCGTCGCTAATAATGTCCTAATATTGTCGCTATATGTTCGAATGTCGCCACAATAATACCTCTTATTGTGACGGTATTTTTTGTGACGACATAGCGACAAAAATTATCGTCACTAAAAATGATTATTCTTGTAGTGTAATTGCTATCTATCTCCTCTCGGTCTCAAGATAAACAACTAACTCCCATAAGCTTCTAAGATTCTAATTCCCTCGCAAGATTCTATTAACCTATCGGTCTGTTTAGTCTCTTACGTTATGAATTTCCCAATTCTAGCAATTAACTATCTCCTCTCGGTCTCAAGCCAATCACAAATATGCATAAATACGGGCCCTATATTCACACAATTCATATAATCACAAGAAACTGATAAACGAAAGATAGACCGGAATGAATAAACAAAATCACTTAATAAAATAATCCGAGTACTCGCAAATCCTAGAATCTCAAAGAAATTTAGCTACTAAACATATTCTCAATACTCAAAATAAACAAATCCATGAGTTCAATGAAGAAGAAAAAGAAAAAAGAAAGAAGAACTATTGTTGCCGTTAGTTCCCGGATCTTCAATCTCCACTTCCTCGAATTCCTCGTGTGTTTCGTGCTTTCTCTAGGCCTCCAATGGTGTCCAAAGTCCCCAAAACCGTGTTCTTTATGTTCCTTATATACTGTAGGGCAAATATGGGTGGAAAAAAGGATCAAATCCGCGCAGGTTTCCTATTTTCCGCTGGTTTAACTGCGCGTCACACGACCCGTGTCACATGCCACACGAGTCGTGTGACTTGTCTTTAATTTCCGGCAAAGTTCCAGGTTCACACGAGCACTTCACACGAGACGCCACACGAGCCGTGTGAGCCCACACGACTCGTGTCATGTGCCACACGACTCGTGTGGTAAAGCCGCACCAAAATAACAATTTTTCTCACCCCACACGACTCGTGTCACTATCCACACGAGTCGTGTGGCCTGTCTGCACCCCATTTTTCATCGTTTTTCGTCCCGATTCCATTTTAACGCTTTTTCGGGCATATTTCCTGCAAAACCAACGACAAATATACCTCCATCATAGATTAATAAATCAAACAAAATGGTGCACAAACCCACGATAATCACGGTCAAACATCTCACTATATCACTCATAATGCATGAAAATATGATGAATGTCAGTCCACCGCGTAGGTGGCATGCACTCATTGGTGATGTATTTTTTTAAACATATTAACATCACCAATTAGTAGATGCCACCTACGCGGTAGGCATATTAACATGTGCCCACTGTGGGTAGGGAGCATTTCTATATTTAATGATAATTATATTAATATTTAATCATTGATTGTTATATTATTTTATTATATTGATAATATGGAGGATAGTGATGTTGAGTTAGATTTGAGTATTAATTAATTTGGTTTGAATAAATTGTTTTACAAACACACCCTTAGTTTGTCTGTCAATATTTCTGACACCAAGCTTCGTTTGATATACAATGAAAAACTAATAATAAATACAAACTTTGTCGAATTTTAAAAGTGTATGCAAAAGACCTCCTACCAGCAGGATTCGGCATGATCTCAAGTTCCACGCCAGTTGAATGTCTTTTGACCTACAAAAACTCTCACATCGGAGAATTTTTCCAATGATGATCATATGATGCTTAAGTAGTACTGAAAAGAAGATGAAGTGTTGTATAGAGTAATAAAGAATGAGGTGATGTGATAATGATCATACTTCATTCTCTTATATATATGGAAATGTTACCTTGGCGCTCAAGACTGTATGAGTGGACCGCCCGATCGGCCTGATTTTTCTAATTTTGTTAGCATGTGGTCCTATCCACGTGTGCCTCTTATCTTCTTAAGATTCTTTATTATCTCTCACTCTTTCATATTAGACAACCTAATGGTGCGACCAGCTCGAGGTCAACGAAGGTAGAATGTTGTATGTTGTGAGCCTAACTGTGTTGTCCTTTCTGGTCGATCTAACGATCAACCATGCCTACAGGTCGAGTTCCCACCAGGCCATCCGAAGGCCTTAGCTCGACCTGTCATTGTCCCTCTAAACCCCTCTTGCTTCTTTGTCCCCTGAAGACTTCTCGTCAGCGATCGATCTCCCTGCTACTCTGCTTCGACCACTCGATTGGCCAATTTAATCCGGTTTGTTGGGTTTTTCTCCTTCGAGCACATATAAAAAACATAACCATAATTTTACTTGATAATTGTTTTATAATTTTAAAAGTCTTAATAGACATAGATAAAATTTCAAATCTATATGGATTACTCCGAACCAGCACAATTAGACATACACCATAATGAGTAAGATAAAATATACTACACTCGGGGACCCATATTCCTAGGAAAATATATAAATATGAGAAAACAACTAAAAACTGTTGGGCTCAGATACGCAAATGTGGAAGATGTAAATTAAAATATCAAGGTAAAATG